ACAATGATATGAGTATATGTAATACAATAATAACAAGTACATAGCAACAGATGCAACGTATAGCTTACAATGCCTACATCAAAATACATTCAAGATAAAAAAACCGGAAATAACATGCAACAAATTATCAAGTTAAATATTATTATATAATGCAATGTATATTACACATATATAATATGTTTTTTTTTTTGTATCTTTTAATGTTTATTAGAAATTAAGAAATATTTTCAATTCAAAATTATTTTCCATGAATTTTTAGAACAATAGGAAACGTTTTTTAAGTACGTCAAACGATTATCAGTTACATCATAATCATATTATTTATTTTGCAAAACTAAAATAATCATTCATTTATAATTGTATGTCACATACAGTATGTGAATAGAAAAATTAGTATAGATACCTACATATTATGTTTCATAATAAGAGTCAGATTTATTTTTACATATGTACATACTTAAAGGTAACAATTACTAACAAGAGTATTATGAAAACATTTTATTTGTATAATAATTAATATTTCAATAGAACGTATCACTGATATTTGTTTTTTCCGTTTTACGATTGCGAAACACGGCAAATTTACGTTCAGAAGATCACGTTTAGCTTCGTTAGTTTAAAAATTGGAGTGAACAGCCTATTATGAAATTAGATGGTAAGAACATTATATTTGTATGTGGGATTTTACGATAGCTCAATTATTTTTATCAAATTTAGCGTATATACTCGTAATATGAGTAATTTAAAATATTCATAAATCACTTAAAAACTAAATTCTCATAAAAAAAAAAACATACAAACACGTATATGGTTTTACCTTCAAGTTTCATTATAGGTCAATTCACAATAATTTTTAAACTAACAAAGCTAAATGTGAATTGTTAAGATATAAATTTACTATATTACACACTTGTAAGACGGAGAAACAAGGACAACAGATACAAGTGTTACGTCTTCTTAACGTAGGTATCCAAACTTTGTAGATGATTGCATTGGAAATAGGCACCTATATTATATGTATGTATGTTATATATTATATATTTAATACTTTTATGATAGATATCTGAAATTTATCAGTCTTCAAGGGTCATTAAAGGTTTGAATCGATAAGAATTTAATACAAAAATCGTTGTAGACCCGTATGATGTCAAATAATAAAACATAACAGATAATTAAATAATTTTAAAAGCATGTAAGCATTATGTATGTTACTTATACCTGCATTAATTGTTACTAAAAAAAAATTTAATCATCACAATTGTGTCTATTATAGTTTGCAATCTAATTTAAAAATTAAATATTTCTTATCGATATGTACCTACTTTAGTGATGTATTTAAAATGTTTTCTATTATAATATAATTTTACTGTCTGTAATTTATCTTTATGAAATCACTTTAATAGTAAACAAAAAAAGTTTAACTTTTAAAAATAAATCCCAACTTTTACAACACTTCAGTCTTTTTCTAAATTGTGTATAAAACAGTACCTATAATAATGTATTATTATTACAATTTATTTTATGTCATTTTTAGAAAATAATTTCTATAAATCGGAAGATATTTGCTAAATAATATGACCTTAAAGGTTTTCGGTTGTATAAAATAAAAAAATTAATTAATTTTAAAATACGAAATTGTATTGAGTTAAAAATTTAACCTCTGCATACAATTTATTAGAAAAATTTTTTTTTTAATGCGGATTTTCCGAGAGCATTCGTTTTTGTGTGATTAAAACTGTTTTATTTAATTATATAATAGGTAACATTAGTGTTACTAAAAACTGTGATCAATTAGCTAATTGCATACATTTTTTTTTAATTACCTATCGTTTACTATCAGTATGTAGCTACTGTGAAACTTTCGAGATGAAGGTAAAATAAATACATAATATAATGATAATTATAATAAAGTTTCTCAACGAAATAATATCATAATGTAATTTTCTTCATTTTGTTACCATCCGACAATGGTCAATTAGGTATTATAATTTAATGGTGTTACGCGCGTGTTCATTCATAAGGTTCRTCAAGTTTATCACACAGCGATACACCGTTGTCCCCCCTTGTCTTTACAGATCTTATAATAGACGTCCGTCTTAGGACGTTCTAAGAAAAGCGCTGGAATCGCGAATGCACTTTACACCGACTTTAGAAGTACATCGTTGTACACGAGATAAGAGCAGACAACCAGTTAGAATCGGTTGCATGGGTTTGACCGTACGGAGCGCAATATTATAATAAATACAAATCATTGTAATATTATATCAAAATCCAATAGTATTGTGTAAAAATATTAATTCTGATAAATTTATGTTTACATTCTGTACGTCACGATATTATATGAATATAACATATTATTATTATAATAGTACGCGCAAGCATATAGGATAATATATGTATGGATAATATACTACTAGGTAACGCATAAGATTATTAGTATCGAAATAAAGTGAGAAAAATGTGTATGTACTTACCGTCGATACTGTCGTAAATAAGTAGGCGAATAATGCGAATTGCCTGTAAAATAAAAACAAACATTTTTTTTTTAAGAAAAAACATGAAATTTATTAGGTCACGAGATTTTTTTCAAGTTGTTTGAATATTTTTTTTAGGGTCTCTCGAATATAAAAGAAAACTCGAAAAAAAAATTCAGAGAACTTCTATACCTAGAAGGTATGTGTTAAAAAAAAGAAAACGTATGCGTTTCACGCGAGCTGTGAAGTATCATAATTTTTTTATCAACGAAAATAATTTACACGATGTAATAATTATACGCTTCGGATGAGACGAGCGGACATGAAATAATAACATTATTAAAAACGGATATAAAAAAAAAAAAAAATGTGTTAAAACAATAATATTTATATTATTATAATAACAGCACACATTAATAATAATCGTTTGTGTTTGGTTTTTGGCCGCGGTAGGTACTTACCGCCAACGGAGCAGGCTGAGCCGCGGCATGGCAGCCACGGTGTGCAGAGATAGGTATACCCGCTCGGCACTATTTCGACATGAGATTCGTGCGGCACACCGACATAGTACTCTCTACGGGCCGCGCGACAGACGCCGTTTTCGTGGTGCTTCTGGCGCTCAGAAATGGGTACGCGGGTCCGGCAGCGGCGGCGGCGGCGTGTGTCGGCGTTCGCTATCAGCGGTCGGAGCACCGACAACTCGTCGGACGGCCTCCCAGGCCCGGCGCGCGCCGATCTCGCCACCTCGCGGCCGTTTCCCGAACTTCGCCGTTATTGGGCCCGCCGACTTAGTCCTTTTTACGGCTGTCGGATGTCAATTAGAAATTGAGAACAATTTTAAGTCTCTTCGAATTGACGTCTCATCAATGTTAGGTTACACTTGATCGTCGATTACGATTTTTAAGAGCATCACAAGTTGACGCAATGCTAAATTTAAAATCTAAATTACTACTTACCTATACAGTTCATTCGGTGCTGATATAGTTATTCATAAACACTGTCAGTGTCGAAAAATAATGCATATGGGCATTGTAGTATTAAAATATTATGAATTATGATATATTTTCTTGAAAAACCTTACCAGAACTCGGTATGATGAAGTATCGTTTTGTGGAGTCTACTTACCTACCTATAATTTACAACACATATTTTAATAAGATTAAAAAAAAATTATCTTACAAACTCTTAAATAAATTCATCTAAATGATACCTACTTATAAAAAGCTCGATAATACAACTATTGTACCTTATTCAAGGTGTATCAAAAATCGTATTATGAATTTATCAATTATATCTATGCTAAGTATAGGCAGACGAACATAAATTGTTGTGGAACATTTTTGTTCAAAATTCTCCTGACTTAATGTACTTGTATAGTGGTACTGTGTCATTTGAATTTAATCACGTCAGTCTTACAAACACAATCGTACTAAATTCCAAATTTATTTACTACAGTTCGAATTTTGTGATGTAAGCTTTAATATGAGTGTGAATATATTCAAGTGACCAGCCATAATCAAACTTAACGATAGTAACATAATTTGAGTTTTTAGGATATTATTTTAATTTTTAAGCTAGATATTAATAATTGTACCCATACTCACAACTCATTGCGTGCTTCAAAATTAAAATATCGTAAAATACCCAATAAAACAAAATTGTGATCTTACCTTTAACTTTGATAATGGGTGATGGGTATTCACTGAATACTGAATTCCACTTTATTAAACTTTATAAAGTTAATACACACAATTAATTAATAATTTGTCTGGTCAAAGATTTATAAAACGATTATTACAGATACAGAGAACACAGTTTTGAGGGCTTCTTAGCACGTGGTAATATATTTCACGTGGGTAGCCAGGACTAGGAAATAGTAAAGTAACAAAATTTTCAATATAAAAAAATAGGCAATAACAGCAGAAGTGAAACAGGTTCTGTCTTTGCTCTAAGGGCACGTGGGGCACGAGTCCAAACCCCCGGGCAAATGAGATCCCGGAATTTTGATGTTATTATTAGTATTTTTTCTTTTGCTTCTAAAAGGACCTCTGCATAATAGCCAAAAACGACTCTGTTTACGACTGTTCAATACATTTTTTATTTTTCACGATATCACTCGTACGAAATAGTGATTATTAATAACCATTTTTGAAAATTCGTACATTTTTTGTTTTTCAAACTTGAACAACATTTTTTCTTAAGCGTAACAGACAACGCTATACCGCGCAGTTGAAGTTGTTCTTATATTTTTGTGATGAACATTTCGTACATTAGACACCGCAAAGACCATCGGGACCGATCATCAATTCAAACAAATTGTTGTTTTCATTTTCTCAAAACGTTATTGCAATCGTTTTCGATGGATTTTTTGTATCCAAAAACCATTATAATACTTTATATATATTTTTAATATTACAGCGTTTTTCATTTACGACGGCTCAGTCCCGCAACCGGTGGCGACGACGGCGGCCGAGAGCGATAACGGTCGTCGATAACGGCCGCCGAGTTCGCGCGCGCGCGCTATTATAGTGGTCCACAGGGTCGGCGATCGAACATGATGGTGCCCACCACGTGGTGTGCCGCAGCAGCGTGAGCAGCAGCACTACCGTCACCACAATAAAAACCGTGTTTGGTAACGAAACGATAACGCTGGCTCGTTCGATTAGCAATAATATCACAAGATTTATTATTCGTATGTATATTATTTTATTTTTCTCCCCTCGGCGCCCACGACAATTGTAATAATTTACAATAATTGTAACGATCTTGCAACGAGTGGTACATAATAATCATACACGTACATAGGTAATTGTCACGATCGTCGTCGTGAAAATAACAAATATCATAACAAGACATCAGAATAAATTTCGGTTTTTTAATTCCGCCGTCCACCAGTGGTCGCGGTCAAACGCAAGCGCGCGCGCGCCCATACGTACGCACGCACGTAAGGCGGCGTCGGAGGCGGCGGCTGCAGCGGCGGCGTTCGGCTACTCTACGGCGGCGGGCAGCTACACCGGAGGCGACCTGCCCGCAAACCACACACAGTCCTAATGGCGCACGACGGCATTTGCCGGCGGCTCGGCATCGTCGTTTTGGTGATCGTGCCGTGTTTGCTGTTGATGGTCCAAGAAACGCAACAGGCGGTAAGTAGTACACCAATCATTGCCAAATTACAATAAATAATGTTGCCTATAATAATAATATGATCATAGCATACGGAGCCAAACATTTTACGTAGGTTTATTATATTATAATATTGATGTTTTTGTTGTATTATTATGTTATATAAATATGATGACAAATTGCTTAACGTGGTATAATCCCTCTTGTTAGTGCTATATTTATTACACTATATTGGTGGTCGCGAGTTTAGTTCTCTCTGTATCTGTATATGGATCCGATTTTTGGTTAAGTGGGTCTTAACAAGGGGAGAGAATAAATACCTATAGATAGTTACAGTCGTACTGTTGTTAATTATTATCAAACATTTGAACGTAAATGTTATAACACGGCTTTAGCAGAAATACACGAATAATGTTTATAATATAATATTCAACACCTCGCATCACTGTCATAATTTTAGGGCCGGTGATCCCCCCCCCCGTCACTCATTAATCCGGAAAACTTGTATATGATATATATTATATGGCAGATGGGTTAGTCAAGGTATTATAGTTTTTATCTAAATTACGGCTGTTCATAGGCATGCGCAGACCCTTCTGGTAGGGTGGGCCACATCAATTATGATTAAGATACTTAGAGAGTTACTTTAAAATATTAAAATGTTTATCAATTCAGCTTTTAAATTTTTCAATGCATGCGATTAATTATTATCATTAAAAATTGTAACTTGTAATTTTATTACTTAAGTTTCATGATAAAAATTTATCAGGTCACAATATCTATAACAAGTATAGTACGGCTTGCGGGGTGAACCATGACCCATCTGGCCCACCCCGTACATACGCCTATGCAGCTGATGTCGTATACCTATATGGCTATATATTTGTTATTACCTATTTAATCACCGATATGCCGATATACCATCATTACGATAGGAAGTGACCTTTTTCTGTTCTTTCGGTATGTAAATTTCTATTCCCAAGTTCTAGTGCAACCAGTGATAAGAGTAACTAGAGTGCCGGCATATGACCCACCTCATCTCCTACCATATCGAATCGGTTTTTCTCCCTTTCTACCTTGGTTGATGCATAATGTATATATATGTAACATAAGTATTTTTCCAATAAGTTGGATTTGCTTGGAGTCACGTGTCATACACCTTATATGTTTTATATAGTCTCAAACTTAATTATTCGTATTCAAGAACGCATTTCGTGACACTTTATTTGTCGTTTGTGAACTTTGACGTTTCGTAAACAGTACGTCATGTATTTCTTGCTAGGTGTCGTATTATTTCTGTTACCGATCGAGCTCTGAGAGAATGAATATGCAGACTAAAACTAGCAAATTATTTTAATTTTTACCATACATGTATGGGTCTAAATGCATTGGTTGGTGTATCATTTCGAGTGCATATAACCATGGCAGATATTTTAGATATTCTTATGCCTTTGCATCTTTTTATTGTTAGGTTAGGTTGCCTAACGATTCTATAAATTAAATTTTATTCTGTATATTTTTTATCATCTCAAAATATAATATCAGCATATATATAATGACATTCACAAATTACAAAAATAATAAAGCAAAAACATTTTGTCCACCTTAAGAAGAAGTAATCGAGACATTCGAGGACTAAGATAATTGTTATATATATAACATAATATATTACTATTATATATTATATAAGATAATTTCTGGTAGGTAACCTACGTATATATAAAATTTATAACGAAATAAATCACGGTTTAATGAATCTATATCAAGTTTATAATTTAAATTTATTGTTATTAGTTATCGCTCAAAGATTAAAGTTTTTTTAGTCTATAATAATAATATTATTTAAGCATTCTAAATAMATAACAATAGTTGTAAAATTTATATTGCTTTCAGTTAAATTAACATTAAACGTAATGTTAATAAAATATATAACAGACACTTGTTCTTCAGTTTGTACTTGCTGTATATATTATTATATTTTTAATACACATATTTTTTTTATAACTATAAATCTAATTTTATACCATGACATTGTGAGTTTTACTCATTTGAACATTTGAAAGTTGTTTATTGAAATTTATTGTAGTAATTGAATTGTGATTTTCGTTTTACATTAAAAATATTTTATGTGGATATTTATATTTGCCTTTAATCAGTGTATAATAGGTATTCGCTAAGGATTTGATACCGATTGTTTTCAAGGAGTTTAATATAGGCAATATCCTAAATTTTTGAATGCATGTTGACTCGAGTAATTTTTTGTGTAGTAATTGAATAATATTGTGAGTCTGATGAGTAGTATAAAAAATATAGCTGAGTCCTACACAAATAGGAGGCACGATTAAATAACTCGAAGTTTATTAGAAAATTACTTTCTTACATTTTTAAATTAATTTTTTAGTTAAATATAATTAACAAATAAGAATTAATATTAAAACTATCAAGGTTTAAGAGTTTAATTTTAAAAATGTAGAAAATCATTCAATCAGTTAACTTTTTAACGAATTTAATTATGTATTCAGAAAATGTATTCAAATACTATAGTCAGACGGTAGATATAATATTTATTTTTATATATACCTAAAATAAGTATATTTAGGAAGAAGCCCAATTGAGATCAGATCCCATTAAACAAAATACATATAGTTTTAAATATCAAACAATATATATTTATTTTAATTTGAAATGTTCGTGCTTTCATATAATATAACATAGTAGATATGTATACGTTCTGTTTAAAAAAAATATAAAATAGTACTTATGTCCTATGATAATGTATATAGGTACCTATCGGTAACTTTTGATCTTCCCTATTAAAACAGTTTTATCTCATTGTATTTTTATTTCTAAATAATTTTTGTTATCATTTGTACTCCAAACTGCAGTAATTCGCTTAAATTTAAATACTTATCTTTACATACAGCAAATACAGAGAGTTGCAAAGTAAGTAATAATAACCACGAATTCTTGTTTTTAAATTTTATTTTTATTAATAAACATCTATCTAGATGACATAATTATTAAATTTTTCAATAATTATTCAATAATATAATTGAATTCGAAAAAAATTGTTTTACCTTATTCCCGTTTACATGTTATTTTGATATAATATATTAAACAAATATTTTCTAAAACGCGTAGTTACAGATGGGTAATGTATTAATCATTTTTAAAAATTATCTAGGACAAATAAAATATTTGGAAAAAATTATAAAAGGAGACAAACACTAATACTTGGTTGTGGTGTCTATAATATATAAAATATATTTTATAATATAATATAATTAATATTATAGAATATACCAACTTGAATTTACAATATTTTATGTTTAAAATATATATGAAGTGATTCATTATAGTTTAACACATTTTGTATGATTAAAACTTAGAACTTCGGATTAACTAAATGATCCGATAAGAGCTACCTGTAGGTTCGTAATTATTGAGCATGACAATAAGTTTTTAGATTGTAATGAAAAACATAATAAAATCATTAATATTTATGTTATATAATATTATGTAGTTAAAACTTCACAAAACATGAAAAATTACTTTTATGTCATATTTGATAAAATTCCACTTATTTTTCAATAATGAATAATACCAGAAATGGTGAGAATTAAGTATAGAATATTTCACTTGTGCATCAATTAAAATATTATTAAGGGTCATTGAACAGTTAGATCAACTTATAATGTTTCAATAACCTCTAAATTCTACCACTATGGCACTATACTTATATTTCTGATAAGTGTTAACTAGATCAGATAATAATGAAAAATTATAAAGAACAAGCATATTAATATAAATGGGTAGAGTATAAGAATTGTAATGCGTCATAAAAAACAAAAGTCCACGCCTTTACCAACTGAATAACAGTACCAATAATATTATTATGACATTAACTTTCGTAAATATATTGGTTACTTAAAATCATTATAGCTCTATTCCTATAATAGATGAATAATGAAAGGTATTTATTTAGATTATTTTGTTTTTATCAAGCGAATCAAAAATCTTTTGAGATTGCGATATCTCATCAATATTTATTACATAATCAAATACATTATTGCTAATCATAAAATATAAGTCTTATTTAATAATAATTATAAAACTCTTTGTTTTAAAAATAACATTTACTAGGCATGATAACACGCCAACAAAAGTATTGTTTAGTATCATTAAAATTAATTAAATTAAAACTCTTAGAATTAAATCTTATAAATTCGTAGTATATTCTTAAATATAATATAATATAATATAATAAAATAAAATTATTAAATGAGAATAATTTATTTGAAAGGGGTTACCTGACAATATAAAAGCTTTTATGTATTTTTACCAACTAATATCATTAATTTTATAGTTAGGTATTTATTAATCTCAGAGATTTTTTTCAAAACAAGTGATAAAACTGAAAAATATTTTTAGATGCAGCACATATTTTTTTGTATATTTTACATATTATAAGTACTGAGATATTTATTAAAACTATTTTGAATTTTCTAGTAATTGTATTAAAATATCTAGATAGTCACTTAATAGTCACTGTAATATATATGTGTTAAATTGTAATTAAATGATATAAAATCATTAATGTTTACAAAAAATTATTTTGTGCAAAGAAAGTCTTAAAAAAATCGTAAAATATATATATATAATATTGGTATCTACTAATTATTACTTGAAATGCAGTTTGCAATGGTTCACAAGTTTGATAGGATTGCAAAAATTAAAGCTGTACATTGCTATGATGAATACATTATTTTCCTAAATGCTTATGTATATTGACTATATTTCTATATTGTACTACTATAATAATTTTTAGATAAATAGGACTGCAGTTTGCCACTTTTATTAAAGCAATATTACATTTTATCCAAAAGCAAAAACTTTGCTATTAGAACTTATAACTATATCATTATTTAACGTATTATTCGAATAAGAATGAAACTTGCTTTGAGATACTTAGAGTTAAATTGAATAGTTAACATTTTAAACTAAATAGTAAATTAAGCAT